GATAAAAAACAAAGGGACTGCTGATGAGTTTGATTGGGGGGAGGGAATGATTGCAGTAAAGAATGTCTCTCCTATGCTTTCACTTGAGCAGTGTGGATGGTCCTACCAACTTACTGAACTGGGGAAAATTGAGGGAGAAACAAGTCAAGACTCCTGTTTGGGAATGCTAAGACCGAGATGCTATTTGATGTCCCAGTGGAAATGCCTAAGAGATAATTGGATATAGGAGTCTGGGATTTAGGAAAGAGGTAGGGCTGGAGATGAAGACTGAGAGTCTTAGAAATAGTGGTGATATTTGGAGCTGTAGGACTGGACAAGATAACCATAGTTAGAAAAGAGAAGGTGGCTGAAGAGTGAGTCCCAAGGGGAAGATGTCTTTTACAAAGGAATGGTATCTTTTTGGTGTGGGTAGATTTGGAGGACCTTTTGTGAATTAGCTTCATGGTGTGCATGGTTCTCTCAGAGTTTGAGAGTAGAGACAGTGCTTAAGGGGGGGGGGTGATCTGATGTTTGGTCATTCCAGTTGAGGAAATTTGGAAGGTTGCTCTCTGGTTTAGATCCAGAGAGCCGCTTTTTTTACCCGCTGCAGAGCAGTCAGTGCAGTGCGGTAGGACGTCTCTCCTCCCTGCTTTCACACCCTCTTAGGGTGTGGTCTTTTGGTCTTTCTGGTCTTTTGGCCTTAGAGCTTGGATAGCCCCCCAGTCTGTGCTTATGTTGTACCTGTGATGCGGAGTTACCCAGACCAAATTCATGTCTCTCCTTATAGTAGCCATTTCTCTTTATCCCAAACATCTCTCCTGCTGGTTTTCCTTTTTTCCTCTCATTTTCTGCTCAGAAAACTTTTGTGGCTCCTACTACTAACAAAAAAAATTCCAAACTCTTCAAGGTGGATTTTGAAATCCTCCGTGATCCAGCTCTATTTGTCCTTCCAGCTTTGGGTCTCTGCTTTCTCTCTTTAGTGTTCCCTTGGAACTTCCTTCACCATGTGGCACTCATGCTGTTCCCCCTGCCTAGAATGCCTAAATCCTCCCACCCTTCACTGCCCAGCTGACCCACTGAAAGCCCCCAGGAACCCTTAGCAGCTTATAGATTTTGAAACCTCTCAGCTTTGGGTTTATTTTCCACCCTCTAGTTTAGCTTTCTGGGGAGGGCCTCAGTTACAGAGAACATTTGTGAAGAAGACCCATCTTACTCCTGGACAATTATGCCATTTAAACAGCAGCCAACATCCCCATTGAGCTTAAGGCCCATGACAAGCCATGACCCTTCTCATCTCCACTCCCCCAGGATCATGACCCTAGCTTAGATGCTTTCCTCCCTGCAAGCTTATCTCAGTTCTTCCACACAATTACTTACTCCCTTCTTGGTGTTATGACAGCAATTTTCTTTTTTTTTTTAATTTTCTTTTTCCCCTTTTTATTTATTATTATTATTTTTAAAGATTTTATTTATTTATTTGACAGAGAGACACAGTGAGAGAGGGAACACAAGCAGGAGCAGACAGAGAGGGAGAAGCAGTCTTCCCGCCAAGCAGGGAGCCTGATGCGGGGCTTGATCCCAGGACCCTGGGATCATGACCTGAGCTGAAGGCAGACGCTTAACGACTGCGCCACCCAGGCGCCCCTATTTATTATTTTAATAAAAAATTTTTTTATTATGTTATGTTTGCCACCATACAGTACATCATTAGTTTTTGATGTAGTGTTCCATGATTCCTTATTTGCGTATAACACCCAGTGCTCCATGCAGTACGTGCCCTCCTTAATACCCATCACCAGGTCAACCCATCCCCCCACCCACCTCCCTTCTAAAACCCTCAGTTTGTTTCTCACAGTCCATAGTCTCCCATGGTTCGTCTCCCCCTCCGATTTCCACCCCCTTCATTTTTCCCTTCCTTCTCCTAATGTCCTCCATGCTATTCCTTATGTTCCACAAATAAGTGAAACCATATGATAATTGACTTTCTCTGCTTGACTTATTTCACTCAGCATAATCTCCTCCAGTCCCATCCATGTTGATGTAAAAGTTGGGTATTCATCCTTTCTGATGGCTGAGTTATATTCCGTTGTACATATGGACCACATCTTCTTTATCCATTCATCTGTTGAAGGGCATCTCGGCTCTTTCCACAGTTTGGCTCTTGTGGACATTGCTGCTATGAACATTTTTCCCCCCCTTTTTAAAAAATTTAAGCTCATTTAATTAACAGACAGTGTATTATTGGTTTCAGAGGTAGAGTTCAGCGATTCATCAGTCTTATGTAACACCCGGTGCTCATTATGTCCCATGCCCTCCTTAATGTCCATCACCCAGTTATCCCATCCCTCCACTCCCCTCCCTTCCAGCAACACTGTTTGTTTCCTATGATTAAGAGTCTCTTATGGTTTGTCTCCCTCTCTGATTTCATCTTGTTTTAGTTTTTCCTCCCTTCCTCTATGCTCCTCTGATTTGTTTCTTAAATTCCACATATGAGTGAAATCATATGATAATTATCTTTCTCTGATTGACTTATTTCAGTCAGCATAATACCCTCTAGTTCTATCCACATTGTTGCAAATGGCAAGATTTCATTTTTGATGGTCGAATAATATTCCATTGTATATATATACTACATCTTCTTTATCCATTCATCTGTCATTGGACATCTGGGCTCTTTCCATAGTTTGGCTATTGTGGACATTGCTGCTATCATGACAGCAATTTTTTTGTACTTATGACATCTTGCTTTATTTAATGGTTGTTTGCTGTACACATATTTCTTATTAGACTGTAATCTCCTTGAGGGAAGGGGCTGCTGTTATGAGTCTCTATATCCTTCCTATGGTGAATCCAATGGCCCTCAACATCCATTCTTATCTCCTTCTATATTTCCTAGACTCCCTTGTAGCTAGAGTTCTGGATATGAATTATGTTTTTCCAATTAGATGTGTTTATGTGATATTGAAAGCTATGGTGATTTTTGCTATTTCTTTTGGTAAACAGGGTTATGGAACATGGTTGTTGACAGGCAGATTTGGGAACAATGCCAGCAGCTACTGGAGCCCAGCTTTCTGATTGCTGGATTACAGTACTATGGATGTCTTGACCTCAATAGTTCTGGGCGTCACTTACTGATTTCTAATAATTCAGCTCTTATAATTCTAGGCATTAAATGTTCTATTGCTTAAAATATCAAAAAAGTTGCTGTTTCATTCACCTTTACCCTTGACTGAATAAGGGTCAAATTTAGCCTCTTTTTTCTGTTACTATGTAAATATTACTATGTACATTTTTAGCTGAATTTTTCCTGAAGCCAGACTAAGTTCTTCCATCTGCCCACCTATTTAGCAAACAATTATGAGTGCCCCTGGACATTGGTGGCTGCACTAAGTGCTGAGCTGTACATAGTTGAGTACGATACAGTCTTATTCCCTGGTAGGGGTGATAATCACAATAGTGTGTGTGTGACAAATGTTATAAGAGAAATGAATGGGAATATAAAGGAAGGAGTGCTTGGAGTGTCCAGGAAGGCTGCCCAGAAGATGTGATGTTTTAGTTGGGACACAGAGGATGCCCAGGTTTTTACCTGGCAGAAGCAGGGGGGAGGTACTCCAGACTATGGAATGGTATATTCAAAGATATGAGTTAATGAAAGACCCTGATAAACTAAGAAAAGGTCAAGTCCTTGGTATGGCTGGAAGACTTAGTGCTCCTTGGAGGGGCTTTTCATGGGACTAAGCTGGGTAGGTCATCTGGGTCAGACGGTGAAGGGCCTAGGTGTTATGCTAAGGAGTGTGAAATTCATCTTAAAGTCACTGGGAGTCACTGAAGAGGAGGGAAATTAAAGGCAGTGGAAATGGAGAAGTGGGAAGAGATCCAAGAGATATGAAGGATGTAAAGTTGGCAAGACTTAATGACCATTTGAATGTGGAAGTGAATGAGGGCAAGGGTCAACTTTGACTCCTCTGTGGGGGAAGGAGCTGAAAATATTTAGATAAATTCCTTTTGACCTTTTGTTATTTGTTTCATATTAATTCCTCTTCTTCCTCTTCCTTCTCCTTTCTCTTCCATTCCTCTCCTTCTCCTCCTCCTCCTTCTTCTCCTTCTCCATCTTCTTCTTCAGTGCTCAGGACCTCAAAGAACAAAGGCATCTTAGAAATCAAGAAATGAGGCCTTATTTTTGGAAAACTGCACCGAAGTGAAGATAGGATATCATGTCCCCACCATGAAGAAGGAAAAGAGTCATTGAGATCATTGCTCACCAATCATTTATTGGGTATTTTAATACAATTCCATTGATTTTCTCTGAAGGGTTTTCAGGAGCTATGGATGGACAGTTTCGGTTTGCTGGAAGCTGCAAGCAGATGACATATTCTTTCTTTGTGTTTTATATGATCAGAAACTGGATAAATATGAAGCTGGAACCAGTCCAGTCAGCTGTAGTGATAGCAGCTCAGGGGACAGTCCCTCTGGTGAAGGGTGGGAACCTGGGCATAGGAGATATTGTGGACTTCAGAGATGGCTCTCCTAGAAGCCTCTCACCATGTTTCATTTTAGTGTAGGCTATGAGGTTTGCAATTCCTGGTGTTTCATCCACAGGAGCCCAAAGCCACCAAAGTCCAGCTGTCCTGTCCTCAGGCTGTAATATGTATCTTCAGAATACCTTTCCTGTTTCTGAATTTTTGGGAGAAGTTTCTACCATTCAGTGATCCAACCATGTCCCACCTACACAGATGGAAAACCAGGAAATGATTTAAATCCCCAAAGTAATCAAAATTGGAATCTGATTATGTCACCCAACTTACCACTCAGATTTAACCCAACCAGAACACCCTAGAATTGCTGCTCAAAGAATGGACATGCCCTAAAAGTGAATACTAGTTCTCAAAAGCATCCTTGCAAGTAGATAGAAGAGAGAAGAAAGACATACATTTTCAATCTCCTAACAGAAGTAAGGATAAACTTGACATGTAGATTTCTTCCTTAGCTTCAAGTTGCTTTAGCTCTGGTGTGTGCACAGCCTAATGTTGATTCCTTTTCTGCTCTTGTACATAGTCATAGAGGGGGTTGGGAGCAGGAGCTGCTTTGGTAGGGTGACTTCCACCCTGTTCTCTCCTTGGGGGCCTCCCACCACTCCGGGTGGGATGGAAGGTCAGGTTACTGCGTCTTCCCTGTGAACCTTGCCTCTGGCTATTCTCATTCATGTGGATTTTTTCTCTATTAGCACAGCCTTGCTGGGTCCCGTAAGATTGTTGATCCTGGGATCCTTGATACCTTTCTTCCTCCTCAAGGGTTTGCCTATCCCATTGTTGCTGACAGTTTTGACTCTCTTCATGGGCTTCCCTGTCTCGTTGCTGATGGGTCTGCTCATCTTCGTGGGTTTGCCTGTCCCTTCTCTGACGGGTCTGCTCATCTTCGTGGGTTTGCCTGTCCCTTCTCTGACGGGTCTGCTCATCTTCGTGGGTTTGCCTGTCCCGTCTCTGACGGGTCTGCTCATCTTCGTGGGTTTGCCTGTCCCTTCTCTGACGGGTCTGCTCATCTTCGTGGGTTTGCCTGTCCCGTCTCTGACGGGTCTGCTCATCTTCGTGGGTTTGCCTGTCCCGTCTCTGACGGGTCTGCTCATCTTCGTGGGTTCTCTGACGGGTCTGCTCATCTTCGTGGGTTTGCCTGTCCCGTCTCTGACGGGTCTGCTCATCTTCGTGGGTTTGCCTGTCCCGTCTCTGATGGGTCTGCTCACTTTCGTGGGTTTGCCTGTCCTGTCTCTGATGGCTTTGTTCCTCTTCATGGGTTTGCCTGGCCTGCGTCTCCCATGGAGTTACCGGACTCTCACAACTATGTCTGCCCCAGCTTTGGTGGCCCTGCTCTTCCTCTGCCTGGTGGCTCTGCCCCTCTCCATGACATTGCCTAGCCTGGGCCTGTCTGTGGTCCTGCTCACCACTACATGATTGCCAGTCACCCCTTTTGTAACCGCATGACCTTTCTTGCTGGATATGTGCTATGAGTTTGTGTTGGTGGTGTTGGCTATCCTCCTCAGGTTCCCACGCCTGGTGGCTGTTCTGCTGGCCTTCCCTAGACTGGAATCTCTGCCCTTGATTTCGAGTCATTTCCTGTCCTTGAGTCTTTTGACTTAGTCTCCCTGACCTTCCTGATTGCTCAACATATAAGTCTCTCCTTGTTCCCTCACTTCCTTGGAGGTAACTATTTTGCCCTGTTACCCCAATCTCTGACTGACCATAGTGAGAGCTCAGGCCCTGTCTGTCTCTCTGACTATAATGATAACCCTGGCCTTGTCTGTCTGTCTGGCCATAACGAGAGCTCAGGCCTTGTCTATCTATCTGGCCATAGTGAGAGCTGAGGCCTTGTCTATCTATCTGGCCATAGTGGGAACTCTGGCCTTGTCTGTCTGTCTGACTGCACTGAGAACCTAGGCCTTTTCTCTCTGTCTGACCATAGGGAGAATTCTGGCCTTGTCTGTCTGTCTGACCATAGTGGGAACTCTGGCCTTGTCTGTTTGTCTGGCCATAATGGAAACTCTGGCCTTGTCTGTCTGTTTGGCTACACTGAGAACCTAGGCCTTGTCTGTCTGTCTGACCATAGTGAGAACTCTGGCCTTGTCTGTCTGTCTGGCCATAGTGGGAACTCTGGCCTTGTCTGTCTGCCTGGCCACATCGAGAACTCTGGCCTTGTCTGTCTGTCTGACCATAGTGGGAACTCTGGCCTTGTCTGTCTGTCTGGCTACACTGAGAACCTAGGCCTTGTCTGTCTGTCTGACCATAGTGGGAACTCTGGCCTTGTCTGTCTGTCTGACCATAGTGAGAACTCTGGCCTTGTCTGTCTGTCTGGCCATAATGGAAACTCTGGCCTTGTCCTTCTGTCTGGCCACACTGAGAACTCTGGCCTTGTCTGTCTGTCTGACCATAGTGGGAACTCTGGCCTTGTCTGTCTGCCTGGCCACATCGAGAACTCTGGCCTTGTCCTTCTGTCTGGCCACACTGAGAACTCTGGCCTTGTCTGTCTGTCTGACCATAGTGAGAACTCTGGCCTTGTCTGTCTCTCTGGCCAAATTGCAAGTCCAATTCTTGTCTATCTCTCTGACCATAGCCTGAATCCTGATCCAGCCTCTGAGACTGTTTATGATAAGAACCTGATTCCTGTTGGTTTGTCTGGCCATAACAAGAATCGTGAACTTGTTTCTCACACTGACTTAAGGCAAAGATATATCCTTGTCTTTTAGGCAGACTACTGCTAGATTTATGTCTCCACCTTTGACCATAGCGGGAGTCCCTATCCTGTCTCTCTGACTGATCCTGGTGGACATCCTGGTTTTGTCTCTCAGACTGAGTGCAGTGGGAGTCCTGCCTTTCTCCCTCGTGCCTCTGCCTGTGTTGCCTGCCTGTATTTTCTGGAAACTTATGGTCTCGTGTTCCCTCCTGCTCACCTTCTTGCTGAGAGATTCTATCTCCACATGACTTATTATCCAGTTTTTGATAGCAGGCTTGGGCCAACTGGAACACCAACAAGAGATATTCATGAAAATCAACATGTCCATTTCTGTCTTTATCCAAGAGGCTCAGGATGGTGTCCACCATGTCTGGGTCATTTGGTCTCTGTGAGAAGATAAAACAAAGAGCAAAATCAGCTGTTCTCCTGTGGATACTGTGTGCTAGTATCTATGCCCCAGCCTCTTCACTCCTGTATGAGCCTTCCTTGGTTGGAAACTATTAATCTGAAATGGCTTGGGCTTGGTTCTAGCCCAACTGATCAACTGGTCCTCAGAACCGCATCTCTTGCTGGACCAGTGGGGGCATGATTATTACATTCCATCACATGCTATATTGTAATTATTTTTTACTTATTTCTTTCCAACTACACTGTGAGGTCCTAGAGGGAGGAGAAGCTGGTTTTTATTCATGTTTGCATTCCCAGTGCCTAGGATGACTATTGAATGGATGAATGAGAAGATGTGTGGACAGAAATCAAGATACAGATCTAGAATTTCTTCTGAGAAATTATTACTGGTTTGAAGTTGTGCTCCCTTCTGTCAAGCTCAGCTATAAGAAGGTGTGTGTGTGTGTGTATGTGTGTGTGTGTGTGTGTGCATGGCTGTGAGCACGTGTGTCTGCTGGGAAGGAAGTACTGAGGAGAGCTGCCTGAAAATCTTTAGCTACAGGGTGGATTGAGCATGACCAGATCAAACAAAACACATCAAACCCTGGATGCAGGTGTCAGAGTCACTCACACTTGACTTCATAGGGCCAGAGTCTATGCGTCTTACCCGGAGGATATCTCCAAGCTCTGCCAAGAGCAGCTGCTTCAACTCCTTCTTGCAGAGCAAGGTACATTTCCCATTCTCTTTAGCATATTTCTGGAACACCTTGATCACAGTGAGTATGCTGTTCAGGAGTTGAGCCATTTTAACAAAAATGGGTGAACCTAAAAGAAGAAACAAGATTTTTTCTGTGTTTAGGATGAAGACCTGGAGATAGTATTTCCAGAGGGCAAGTGGCCCTTTTTGGTCAGGGAAAGAAGTTTAAGAAATGATAGAGCCCCTTCTTAGCCATACCCCTCACTCCCTTTGACCCACATTCAGGCTCAGAATATCATGTACTACAGTGGGAGATGGGCACAAACTATGGGTCCCTGACTAGGAAAAGTGACAATTTCCTAAAAAGCAACGAACATATGGTAGGTGGTTTACATGCCCCATCCCCTACTCCAGGTGGAACTTACTTGATTGAATCTCTTTTATTAGAACAAAAAGGAAGGGAGGTCAGGAGGCCCACAGAGGCAGGGCCAGAAGCCAGTATAGTAAGACATAATTTTCCACCAACTAAATAGACCCTACTGAATAGGCTTAGTCTTCAAATGACCATTGCTCAAGTGGGAAAGAAGGCTAGGGTCTCTTGCCATGAGCCAAGCAAGCTTTCTGGGAAGCTAAATTCCAGCAAGTACTTCTGGCCTGGATGGTCATTTGGGGTATGTTTATAAAGTAGAATCAATTAATATAACAACTATTACTAATAAAAATAGCAAGCCAAATTAACTGCACAGATGATAAGAAGTGTATATAATCAGCTAGATTCCACAATGGCCATGTTGGAAAACTAAGGTCTTTTGGGATTTGGATCTCAGTGATATTTCTTCCTGTGCTGTAAAAATTCTAGTTACTGGGTTTATAAGGCTCCAAGAAGCCCTAACTGCAAAGCACATTGGACTTCCAAAAGCATACAGTGATGCCTATAAGGATGCATGGCACAATGAATTGCATGGGACATACTGAGTTCCTTATGGTATTTCACTGCAATGAGGCGTGAATGTTACAGTGGCCCTGTGGTCTAGGGCCTCAACCCCAATGAGCTCTAAACTTTTCGGTCTTGCCTTACTTGCATGAAAGGTCAGTGCTCTACTATGGGAGACTAAGCTATCCACCAATAGTTCTAGCCCTCAGTTTTGGGATGCCCAGGACATGCTGAAACAAAGACGTATATTTTATAGTCTCTGAAGTGGGCCACCCCAGCTATCATCATATTCTCAGATAGAGCCAAAAACGAAGTAGGATTCTACCCAGACCTGTCACACACAGGGAGCAATCTCAGACCTCCCCAGCCTAGCACATTATAGCTGCTATCAAGAGCCTTGTAGATACTGCCATAACCCACTCCCCTGACCATCCCCCCCTTCCAATGCATGCCTTACCTGCTTAAGGAGGAATGAGCAAAAGATTCAGAAGCCAGAGCAGGTACTGGAGACTTGAAAACCCATCCTATTTATAGGGGTTTTAATTGTCCTGCCAGGCCATCCCAGGAGATACCCATTCTGTGGTGGAGCCTGAATCACTCTGGGCCCAGCCCAGCTCAGCCCAGCTTGACCTCTCCCTCTGCAGACCGTTTGGCTTATTTACTTCCCCCACTTACTCACGAACCTCTTTGTCATTAGATAGGTGATACAGTTCAAGTCCCTGCCCCATTTAATTAGAGGAGCGTGTGTGCGCGTGCATGCTATGGGGGTCCCAAAAGACAGGTGTAGGTTGCGTTCATCCTTAATATGTGTCATTTACCAAGACTAATGGAAGACAACAGTTAAATCATACCAAAGAAGGATATTGATATGGTCATTTTATAAACACCTGTCAGAGAAAGGACTAGTGATTCTAGGTAAATAGCCAGGATATAGTTCCTGGAAGAGATTTGTTTTAGGCTATCTTGCTTGTGTAGGTAGATATGTATATATATATTTTTAAAGATTTTATTTATTTGACACAGAGAGAGAGACAGCGAGAGAGGGAACACAAGCGGCGGGGGGTGGGGGGTGGGGGGCGGGGATGGGAGAGGGAGAAGCAGGCTTCCCGCTGAGCAGGGAGCCCGATGCGGGGCTTGATCCCAGGACCCTGGGATCATGACCTGAGCTGAAGGCAGACGCCAAACGACTGAGCCACCCAGGCACCCTAGATATGTATATTTTAATCTATTGACCTGTTTTAATTTTAATTTTTTTTTCATTTAATAGCTCTGCCTGCTAGAAGGAGGATTAGATACATGACCAATTTGGGGAGGAAAGGCTATGATGATGGTGGAGCTGCCACCTTTTAAGGTCTTCCTAAAAAGTTAGAAGTTGATAGACAATGTGGACGCTATGATATCTGTGAGTAGAGCTGCTGTTGGAGTCACTGCTTATTCCCCCCTCTGCACCTGTGACATGTCAGCAACAACACAGGAAATTCTCAGTAACTTTTTGTGGAGCAAGTCAATTACTGATTTTTGGAAGCATTTGAGAATCTTGTGTAAAGTGCAAAAAATTCTAGATTTACCTCTACTTTCTACTTTTGCCTCACATCTAGATCCCTGCTTGGACTTTTTCCTATGTGTCCACACATCAGTCAGTTATTAGTAATGATGCTTGCTATTATTGACTATGTATTCAGCATTCTGCAAGGCAATCACAAAAGTGCAGAGATTTTAGTTCAGTTGAAATAAAGAAGCTTCATGTAGAAAAAGATTATGAACAACAGAGCAGGACTTGAGAAGTGTGAGTGTCAGAAAACCTCGATACATGTGGAGTCTTTGTGGGCTGGGCCCAAGCTCCCCTTAGCAGGTAGGATTTGTGTTGTTCCTCATGGAATTCAAATGGGCAGAAAAGAAAGCAAAGATATCCTGGTGGGGAGAAGGGAAAGACCAAAGGTACAAGGCAGGAATTTACAAGGTGTGTTTCAATTGCAGTAAGCTGGTGAGTCTGGCTGTAGTGGAGGCTATATAGAAGAATTGAATTAGAGAATTTTAGTGCTGCAAAGGAAATCTAGCTTTAGCCCCTTAATTTTACAGACATGGAAATTGAGGTCCAGACAGATGGAGTGACTTGCCAAGGGTCTCACATGGTTATGACAAAAGCCAGGCTCAGAATCCTTGTTTTCTGACCTCAACCCAGTGTGTTCTTATACATTCTCTGAAGCAGATTTGGGGCCTGCTTTGGGGTTATTTTTTTTTTTTTTGAGATTTTATTAATTTATTTAAGAGGGGGAGAGAGAGAGAGAGAGAATGAGCGGTGGAGAGGGGCAGAGGGAGAGGGAGAAACAGGCTTCCCACGGAGCAGGGAGCCCAATGTGGGGCTTGATCCCAGGACCCCCGGATCATGACCCGAGTTGAAGGTGGACGCTCAACCAACTGAGCCACCCAGGCACCCCTTTAAGGTTAGTTTTAATGAGAAATGGGAAACAAGGACCATTTTGGCCAGGAAAATGACATGATCAAAGCATTGTCTGGGGGAAGATTTTAATCTGACTGCAGTAAGGCAGCCAGCTGTCTTAGTTTGTCTGGGACTAAGGGGTTTCCCAGGGCATGAGACTTTCAGTGCTAAATTGGGGAGAGTTCTGGGCAGCCTGGGACAAGTCAGTCACCAGAGACTGCAGTACACAGGATGAACTGGAAAGAGGAATGTCTGAGCAGGGAGACAATTTAGGAGTCTCTTGTGTGGCCCACATGAGAAATGACGAGAGCTTTGACTACATGACAGTAGCTGGATGATAGAGGGAAGAAAGGGTGGGGTTTGGGGCTAGATTAGATGAGGGGCAGGGAAGGTGGAGAAGTCAGGAGAAACTCAAGGCTTTAGGCCCGGATAGCTCAGAGAACTGTGTTGTGCTGAAGGAATGTGACTTCTGAAGGGAGCCCAATGGGGTTTCAGATTCGACACTCCTCCTGGCATCCCACGGGCTTTCTGCCTCTGAGATCCTGCCATCTTCCCTCCTGCTTGCATCCTCTGCTCTTCGGGGTCTTCTGGCACTGTCAGGACCTACTTCAGTCTGTTTGTAAATCCCGAGAGTGGGGTCATACTAAGATTCTCTTTCTGCTTTTGAATCTCGACTTGTGAGTGCTATTCAGTTATGTCTCTTCTTTCCCATTAGAAGAAAAACCAAGAGAAGGTTTGGTGACCCCAGAGGTAAATAGGGGGAATGGCAGTGGGATGGGTAGGGGGTAAAGACAACAGCCATTGCCATAGAGTGGCAAAGCTGTGGCCCCCAAGATGTTGGCATCTTCCAGGGCTCCCTAGAAACTCTTTCTTTTGGTTAGATGGGCAGTTCTCTGCCTGAATCTGCAGTGGGTCTGCTATATAGCATTCATTCAATGCTTAGTAAGTTCCTACAGGAAGAAGAGAGAACTGTGTGTTGCTCTGTCAGTCTGTCAGTGGGGATGTGTGAGCACATGGAGGGCTCTTTTGTAGGCACCGAGACACAGGCACAGCCTTTGTTTTCTTTCTTTTTTCCTTTTTTTAAAAGATTTTATTTATTTATTTGAGAGAGAGAGAATGAGAGATAGAGAGCACGAGAGGGAAGAGGGTCAGAGGGAGAAGCAGACTCCCCGCTGAGCAGGGAGCCCGATGCGGGACTCAATCCCAGGACTCCAGGATCATGACCTGAGCCGAAGGCAGTCGCTTAACCAACTGAGCCACACAGGCGCCCCTCAGCCTTTGTTTTCAAGGAACTTTCAATCTCACTAGGGCATGGGGTACACAGGCTCCTTCTCTGCAGTTGAAATTGCTACTGTCATTGATAGGGGGTTGGGAGAGTTTGGTTAGAGGAAAGAAGGGGAGGATGCAGAGGCTAGAAATAACACATACTTGAAGAAATCATGGAACATACCGGGCAATTTTGGGCAAATCACTTAACCTCTTGGTCTTGCATTTCTTCATCTGTAAAAGGAGAGAGGGTTGGGCTGATCTCTAAGTGGTTTTTTTTTTTTTTTGGCATTAACATTTTTAAGATTCTGTGATTCTAATCTTAAGTTTAGCTTTAGGGATTCTGTCTTAACTTTGCTCTATTCATGAATGTGTTAAAGGCCTCAGAACTTTGTGCTTCCCAGTCTTCCTCCATGGAGAAGGTGGCAGGGGGAGATTGTGAACGTTCTGTCACTTAGTTAGCATTCA